GAAACTAAAAACTTATTTAATTAGTGTATTAAATTTTAATTAGTGAATATCATCATGTTAGGTACGTGAGTAAAAATTTCAAATTGTTTAAATATTTTACTGTTATATATCATTATAAAGAGGACCAATACAGTATTTTAGAGGTGAAAAAATTATCAAAAACGAACAATTGGTTCAAAAGTTATGACAGTTTAAGTACCGATTTTTTGATATATGGAATTGTTGAAGAAACTGTGGTCATAATTATGTTTTTATTCACTTAAATTGTCATAACTTTATTAATTCTTATCGAAATACAAATACCTTGGTGTCAAAAGATAGGTGTAAGAGTGGGCTACAAATTTTTGTTAAACTCAATTAGTATACAATATAAAATTATGTTCTACAAGAATTTACGTGGTGGTACTATTACGAATTTAAGTCGTGTTTACATCGATGTATGGGAGGGGCGAATAACTCTCCCTCCCCCCCCCCCTCCAACTAAAAAAAAAAAAATTCAAAAAAATTAAAATGACACAACTATGTTTTCTAAAGTCCCAAAACAAAGTTTTTTTCTGTAAAAAGGTTCTATAAATTAAAAGTTTTTTTCTGTAAAAAGGTTCTATAAATTAATACTGGACAACCACCAAACATTGAAGGTAAGTGTAAAACTCATGTTAAATGTGTTGACCATGTTTTAACACACCCTAATATTGCAAAAAAAAATTTAATTATGAAATATTTGATTGGTTATTTAAAGAACAACAACAAAGAAGTAAAAAATATATCTAACCCAGTAAAAATTACATTTTTAAAAAAAAAAAAGCATTTTTGATTAACTGGAGAATTTTTGGTTAAAATATTCTCATTCAGAGTGACTTCTATTATCAGTCAATAGTGGTAAAAAAGTAATCAAAACAAGGTATTTACCAACCTTAGTTAGGCTGTTTCAAACTAAAAAATAAATAAAATGTTATTAACACTAAATAATGTTTGATTATTTTAATGATGCTTTGTTTCATAAAGTTTTTTCTTAGCTTTTAATGAATGATTACAATGATAAATTATACTTATGAAATTATTTTATAATCATTTTTAACAATAGACACTGCGTGAAGGTAAGCCAGAGCCGTCTTTCAAAAATACATAGCAAGTTACAACACTTGCAGTACTTTTGTTTAGCAAGTCACATCACTTGCAGTACTATTTTTAGCAAGTCACAGCACATGCAGCACTTTTTTTTAGCAAGTCACAACACTTAAAGTACTTTTGTTTAGCAAATCACAACACTTGCAGTACTCTTTTTTAGCAAGTCACAACACTAGCAGTACTTTTTTTTAAAAACAAGTCACAGTACTTGCAGTTTTTTAATCTATAAATTTCAAATTTATATATTTGCAGTGTTTTAACAAAATAATATCTAGTCAACTCTCTGGAAACAATATCTGCAACAAGCTAAAACTTTTTCATGCAATGTTCTACAGCTTTGATATCCATTTAATTAACCAACCTTTAATAATTTTTAAATCTTTCAAATAGCACTTTGGCTGTTTCAAACTAAAAAACAAATAAATTGTTATTAAAAAGAAATAATAATGGTTTGTTTATTTTTTATCTCATATAGTTTTGTCTTGGCTTTTAGTGAATGATTACAATAATAAATTTCTTTTGGCTAGTCACAACACTGGTAGTATTTTTCAGCAATTCATTTGTAGTACTTTTTTAGCTTAAATTTCAAACTTGTACTTTCACAGTGTTTTATTAATATAATATAAAATTAATAAAATTGTAACTCTTCTGAAATAACATCTGCAACAAGCTGGATCTTTTTCATGCAATGGTCAACAGCTTCCATATACATCTTCATTTCAACAGTTTCATCATCTTTCCAGTAAGAAATAGTGTAAACTAAGTCATTTTTTCAACTAAATACTTTTTCTACTCTGCCATTATACAAAACAGGCTTGGATGTTTAGGGTCATATCATTCATGCTATAGTTTTTTGCCTACAATTCTTCAATACATGATATCTTCTAAATTATAAAGTTGGTCATAGGCAAATTTTTGTATGAACCTATAATTTCATCATAACTCAATTTGGATAGCTAACGCTCTAACTTTTTTTGCTCTAACTTTTTTCTGTTTCATCGATTTTTTGGCACTTGAATGCCTGTCTTTGGGAAATATTGGCTCTAATTTTAGCCTGATGCAATCGATTGCTAACTCTATTTATACGTGTTACATGAACTTGCATCTAATTACTTTATCTCTCAAATTAATAATATAGAAACCTTACCAGCTGCAACAGATGACAAGGATATTAAAGATTAAATAATACAATGACACAAAAGATTAAATGGTACATGTAAATATTACATATTAAATATATATATACATATATATATATATATATATATATATATATATATATATATAGTACATATTAAATATACAATAACATAATACATATTAAATAGTATAATACTGCATAATCCATAAAATCAGACTATATTTCTCAATAATCTCTTAATAAAGTAAAAGACTAAATACTAAAATAATAAATCGCAAAAAAAAACTGACTTAACCTCTCAAAAGTATCATCTTAAAAACAAATGAAAAACTTTTTTTAACAAAATAATAAAAACATTTGTCAAGACGAAATCTATTGATCTTAAGTTAAAAAAAACTAATGAATATTGAATGTGTAAAATAACTAACTGATATATATCAGTATATATATATATATATATATATATATATATATATATATATATATATATATATATATATATATATATATATATATATATATATAATATATATATATATATATATATATATATATATTATACATAAAAGTTGAATAAGGTTGCTAACATATATTAGTTATATATGACCATATTATATCTGTATCAACTGTAATAAATAATATAAATATTATTTATTACAGTTGAAAGATTAACAGTTAATCATTAAAAAAAAAAGACAGCTGGGGAGACCCGTAAAATACGGGTCTTTACCGAACCGACCATTTTTATACTTATCTATAGCTATCCGGACGTAAACTAAGGGTCTTAGTAAATCTATTCCACACCGACCTTTTCTATACTTATTCCTTACCTCAATATTTTTTTAAAACCGTTTAAAAATGTACATATAAAAAACTATACTTACTTTTTGATATGACAAAAACATTTCTGTTAAAATGTTCTTTTAAAAACTTCAAACGATTTTAATATTATGCCGATTATAAAAATTTTAATAAGAAAAAACGTAAAAAAGACTACGAACTTAGAAAAATGCTAAAACATTCAACACGTGACGCCGTTAAAGTACGCCTTAGTTAACGTTCATAACATATACACATCTAATTAGATTTTATTTAAATTCAGTTGTTGCAAACTTGGTTTTGAATTTTTAATTACACTTCTTATGCGTCATAAATAATCTTAAATTCTAAATAGAAAATACGTTTATGGGCTAATTGGTAGACGCGCAACACTTAGACAGATATAGTCATCTCACCCCGGGAGTTCATACTCCAGTGACCTTTTTTTTTTCATCCCAACTTACAACAAAAGTAATTAAAAATAAATGTTATTATTGAAACAGTTTTAAACATTTCTTCCTATTTATCTTTGAACTTAACTTTATTCACTGCAAACATACTTTTGGTGTTTGTAAGCGTTATTTTACGTTTAGTATTTGTAGGAATTATTTGCACGCACGTATTTTAAACAATTATTTTTACTGTTTCATCTAAAAATCTTATTTAATTTAGTTTAATAATTTCTTAAATATAATATATAAAATATAATTTAAAATATTTTATTAACCCTATTTAAATAAGTATCAAAACTCTTTCCTTTAATTTAAAAAGAATTTAAAATTAACGTAGGCTATAACGATATTTTACCCTTTCATCAACATTTATTTAAAAAGTAAATTTGGATATAGAAAAACGGGTTAAAGACTTATTATTTTAAATAAGTTAGCTTTATCTATTTAATGCTTTTCGTAAAAGCGTTTCTTTAAAGACTCTTAACAAATCATTCAAGCTGTTTTTACTACCTAAGTTATTAAACCTGTCGTGTGTGCCAAAAATCGATACTTAATGCAAATGGAAACTTCGAGTGTTAATGGTGATTAAAGCATAAATGGTTCCTATTCATATATAATAAAAGGAAATATAAAAGACAAAGCAAAAATGATTTTTATATCCATTTAAAACAATAAATCCCAAAATAAAAAAATATAGATATTTACTTAAAAACATATTTTTCTTGATATAAAATAAAAATATAACCTTTAGTACAAATTACAAAAAAAAATTTTATTCAACAGAGCTACTTATAATACAATTTAAATTGAATTATTGTTTCATAAATATTAAGCTTTAGGTAAGCCATAATCAAGTCAGCTATAAGAAACGGAACTAAAAATGGAACAAAGTTATTTAAACGCATAATCATACACATTAATTACAAATTAACATGTCATGCAATCAATACTTTTGAAAACTCAAAAATGCGAATAAGAAACTTACTTTTTTATTTTTACATAACCCTGACAGACCAACATGAATGTGAGCTAAATCTATTTGCATAAAACATCACAACAATTAATTAAATAGCAGAACCACCTTCAAAGGACAAAAAAATTAGTTTTTTAAGGAAAATTAGAGTTATTGGGAGGGGAGGTATTAATAAATAAAAAAGCTCAACTTGAATTTCAAAATTAGTTCATAGTTTTGTTGAGGGTTATTGAGTTATTCTGAGTTTATTATACATATTTTAAACTACTAACACCACACACTTATATTCTTAGTTCTGGAAGGTGCTACATAGAATTTGATTGTGTGAAAACCAAATCCCTTTGAGATTAACATTAACTTTATCAAATGTATGACCGTGACTTTTATTTCTAGTTAATGAGCATTGTTGATAAAGGTGTCTTTATTTAAATGATTTACTTTGATAACATTTAACATTCATGGGAAAAATTAAAAAACAACACAAAAATAAATTTACAAAAACATATTACAAAAAAAAAATTACAAAAAAAAAATGAAGTGGCTCATCGCTGGAAGGCCCTCAGCTATCTATGAGGGCCTTCCAGCGATGGAAGGCCCTCATAGATAGAGGGCCTGGATGCTGGGAGCGATACTTTCGGAAATCTTCCCATGACTTCGAGCCTGAAAAAAAAATTATATATAAATACAACTATCTACCTAGGTAATACTTACAAAAAATCTACTGTAAAAAAACAATAAAAGCAAATAATGTAATAAATTAAGTACAAGTGAGCACAACAACTTATTTATTTTACTCACTAATACTTGACTTATTACATTAACTAATTAAACTGGAAAGCACATTTGTAGCTATATTAAAAAACAAAAGGTACAATAAAAGCAATCAATCAATGTAATAAGTCAAGTAAAGGTGAATATAACAACTTACTTGTAACAGAAGAAGCAGCAGCTAGAGATAAATAAAAGAAAGTTAAAAATGCAATAAAACCAATTAATCAATAAATTAAGGTAAGTATAAGTGAATAGAACAACTTACTTGTAGCAGAAGAAGCAGCAGCTAGAGATAAATAAAAGAAAGTTAAAAATGCAATAAAACCAATTAATCCATAAATTAAGTCAAGTATAAGTGAATAGAACAACTTACTTGTAACAGAAGAAGCAGCAGCTAGAGATAAATAAAAGAAAGTTAAAAATGCAATAAAACCAATTAATCCATAAATTAAGTCAAGTATAAGTGAATAGAACAACTTACTTGTAACATTTAATTTAAACCATGCAGTTAGGTGAGTGTCACGCTGTGCTGCACGGTCTAAAGCTGCCTGTTCTTCGCCTTCTACAAAATATATCATCTGATTATCTGGCAGATGAACCTGAAGTCGAATGATGTTATGTGACATATCACTTAAAGAATACTCAAATATTCGCCACAATGCTTCTGGAGCTGAGACATAGCGACAATTTAAAAACGTGTTTATTTCATCATGGTTAACTTGCTCATTTATCACCACATTGGCACAGTCATGCCCTTTGTAAATGTACTTATATAAATACTTAACTGACTTTATGGTCATGCAGGCTTCAACATTTATGTGTGCTTGATATTTTTTAGAAAGCCATGGGTTATAAGGTACAACCCAACGGTTGTCAACTTGATTACCTTTTATATTTACAATTCTTCCATTATCGACGCGCCTATAGCGTGGATAACCATTAAAAATTGCAACAGTGTGGGGATTAAATTCCTTAGGAAATTTTTTTGTGCATTTACCATCTTTCATGCAGGGAGAATTGGGATTTAAAATTCCACATGGTCCATGTATCATGCATGATTTTATAATTTCAAAAAGTTCAGGATCAACAGCTGATATCAAACTATCAATATCTTCTGCTGTTTCTAGCTTATCAGCATTTACAAAGTGCAATAAAATATGTACATGTGGCAAACCACGCTTTTGAAACTCAATAACCTGCACATGACTTACAACTTTGCCTAAGACTCCATGCTTAAAAATATCCTCTAAGAGAAATTTAAGTTTCATTTTAAATACCCGACAAACTAAATCAGGTCTGTCATTAGCAGTTTGGCCTGGGTTTAAATTTTCTACTATTTCTCTCCATTTTGGATTGCAGGTAAAAGTAATGAATAGATCTGGTTTACCATATTTCTTTATGACTGCCATCGCATCTTCAAAGTTTTCTTTTAATGCTCTTGGACTACCAACATATGAAGAAGGCAATATAACAACACAGCCTGGTCTTACATTAAGATCATTAGCACAATTAATTACATGTTCATGCAATGCATCATATTGCTCACTTCTAAGTTTGTTTTGGTTATTTCTAATAAAAGCAAGGCGCTGTCCCTCAACTTTGACATATGCATCAACAACATATTGCTGAAAAAGTTTCTTACCATAGAATATAGGACTAAAAGTTTGTCTAACAGCAAGCCTATAATTATAATACTGAGACAAAGTAACATGGTTTCTAACACAGGTTGCACGGTCAGGGTTGTGCTCTAGTTGATTGTGCCATCCAGCATCACCTCTCGGGAAGAATATTGGATATACCAAAGGATCCAAATTTGCAGACATAGACGAAATTGTTCTTAAAGGCTGACCTCGAGGGTATATAACAATTTCCCTGGATGCAGGTGGAGCACTATCATCTCCCACAAACACAATAGCAACTTCCTCATGGGAAGGAAGATTGTATTGACGTCTATCATGACCTTCAAGCAAAGACATTCTTACAACAGAGGTTGGTCTACCTTCTAAAGCTGCTTGGCGGATTTCTTCATCCTCTACTTCTGCCATGTTTTTAAATGCAAGAGCAAATGGGTTTTCTTGATTAATTAATGTTTGCATTAACTCTAAGAGTTGCATTAACTCATGTATACAACCATCATTACCAGGTTGTTCCATTCTGAATGACACTGCTGCATTAGGATCATAGATATACAGCTGACAATATTTGGGCAGACAACCTTCTGCAGGTCTTAAATTTCCAACACGATGCAAAATTTGCCCACAGACCCTAAAACAGAAAGGGCCATTATTTGAGGGAGGAGCTATTTCGGCAGTGAAGGAAGCAAAAGATAAAGAGGAATTATAACTCCTTATGTGTTTAAAAAAATTTTGATTTACAGCATGATCAACATGGTTTCCTGTCATTAAACCAGTCAACAATGGCGGATAAAGAGAAAGAGAAGCTAATACAACTTTTCCTGAATGGCAGCACAAAAAATGAGTTTCATTTAAAAACTTCTTTGCACTGCAATACTGACAATTATGGTTTAATTCTCCGAGGTAGTTACTCTCTATAGCAATATTATTTCTTGCTATGCGATGCATATTATACCTATTAAGTTCTCGCCTAGCCTGATTTCTTTCATTTTGATTACAATTTATTTCAGCTTGCCGGGGCTCATCTCTTTCAATTCGACGACGATTTATCTCAGCTCGCCGGGGCTCATCTCTTTCAATTCGACGACGATTTATCTCAGCTCGCCGGGGCTCATCTCTTTCAATTCGACGACGATTTATCTCAGCTCGCCGGGGCTCATCTCTTTCAATTCGACGACGATTTATCTCAGCTCGCCGGGGCTCATCTCTTTCAATTTGACGACGATTTATCTCAGCTCGCCTGGGCTCATCTCTTTCAATTCGACGACGATTTATCTCAGCTCGCCTGGGCTCATCTCTTTCATTTCGACGGCGGTTTATCTCAGCTCGCCTAGCCTGCCTTCTTTCATTTTGACGAAGTCTAATAATTTCATTTCTTAAATTATTAGACATAATTAGGCATCAAAGGAGTGTGTAAAAATGATGCCTAATATAATAAAAGTTGAAGTTTCTTTTTTAAACTTATCTAAAATAAAGTGTAAGCAAATAATACAGAGCATAATACTATAATCTATTATATTCTACCATATATAGCATTGTGTTAAGATAACATAGTTTTATTAAAAACTTAAACTAAAGTTATAAATTAATGTAATATTTTCAACTAAGTATTGTTTATATATTTATGGTAGTTGTTATTTATTATTGACAAAATATTATAAGTATTTAATCAAAAAAAAAAAAAAAAAAAAAAAAAATGTAATTTAAAAAACAAATTTTTTACATATAAGAACTCATAAATAAAGCAAATTAAAAAAATTTAAGGCCTGTCAACTCAGCAAGTACTGCTAGCATGGAAGGATAAAATGTAATCATCCATCAACAAAACCCTTTCATTAGTTTGAAAGGCATTTAACGCAAGATTTGCAATAAATAAATACAAAACTACTAAAAGAACCTCTATAAACAATCATATATTTGCTTCAAGTGAAGAAACTTGGAAATATTGAAACTTCTTTTACTATTTTAATTTTTTTTTTAGATATTTAATATTCTAAAGAAAAAGGGACAATAATTTAAGGCAAAAAAATTAAAATGTCTATACATATAATATATGTATAGACATTTTAATTCTATATATTTTATTGTGTGTGTGTGTCTATATATATACACATATATACATATATATATATATATATATATATATATATATATATATATATATAATATATATATATATAAATAATATATATAAATATATATATATATATATATATATATATATATATATATATATATAATATATATATATATATATATATATATATATATGATGTACAAACAAAACATTAAAATAATAATATAAAGAAAACATTCTCTATACAAAAAATCCTAAAAATTTAACAAAAGTTATTAAAACTTATGCTTCAACACGCTGTATACTTACTTTTATATATATAAAAAAAATTTGAGTTAAACATATTTAATGAAGAAAATCGAAACTCTTAAAAATTTTAATGAGGAGGAGCTGTTAGTAAAGCCTGCTTTTTAACAAAATTTATTTATTGTCAAAAGCATACATTGTTAAGAACAGAGGATAACAACATTAAAACACATTTTTTCAACAATATTTTTTCAACACATTTTAGAAATACACTAATTACAAACAGAATTAATTTATGTGTTTTATTATGACAATACACCACCCTGCTGGCGAGGACAATATTTTTGCTCTCAACAAAGCCAGGTCACATTATAGCAAAGTACACCACTTGGCTAGCAAGGTCAACAATCTTGCTGTAAACTAAGCCCAGTCACAACAATTTGAAACCATGCAAACAACATAATTATCACTTACAAACTATAAACATATTACATATAACACACCACAAACATTGAAACATTTCATATATTTACACACTTACAAAATATAAACCCATATAACCTTAACACATATATACACAATAAAACACAATATAAATAACACACATATATAGATAAATATATAAATTAAGAAAAATATATAAATTTGAAACTTTACAAATACAACCTTATTTTTGTTTTATTTAAATACCTCGTAATAAATGTTTAACAACTTTCAAAAACAAACTATCAAACAATCTGGTTTTTTATACGGATTTGTATAACTTCTTTTAAATAAGGTATTAAACGATCTTGTTCTTTAACATGTAACATTGAGTTGACCGTGTGAGATGCAAGTGTTTTAAACACTAACTTTATCAAGAGTTTGACCTCTTGACCTTTGAAATGAGCAACGTCTTCTTGAGTCGTCTTTTAATTTAAAAATTACAGATTAATTTTATAAATTAATAAATTTAAATACAATTGACAAAAGACTAAAATGCATGATTTAAATAAATCACCTGACTTTAAAAGTTACTTTACTAATTCAATAACAACATAATGTTCATCCTTTATTACAGAAGTTATCAAATAAAAATTGTTGATCTTATCACTAATTAAGCTGATGAAACAAAGTTTTTGATCTCATTACTGATTAGGCAGATGGTATTGTGTTTATATTTCAGTAGTCCGCCAGCTAATTGCCTTGTGGACTACTTGACAAGAATTACATAGAAATTATACAAAATATTTGGTTGTGTTTAGATCATATCCCATTAGGAACGATTATTTATATTTGCGTATTTTTAATTGCAAGGTAGATAAAAGCTTAAAAAGCAAGCGAGATAAAAACAATAGTTAAAATTTCGGAAAATCCGCATTACTAGCATTGGCTATTCGGATATTATTAATTTTAACACCAAATATTTATTGTTGAGATTACAAAAAATATGAATAAATTTCTTCTGTAAAAAAAATGTATTTTAGATACGCGGTATAATCCAATGCGGTTTTGCACTTTTTCCGACAATTTTGTTTTCTAAATGACATTGAAGTGTTATTAAATTTACCTTAAATAACGGTGCTATTTAATAAAAATACAGAATAACAATAAACAAAACTAACAATGAGCAATGTTTAAAAATGATTTAAGTACCAAAAATGCACTATATAATGCTTAAAATAACGATCTCTAATTTTAAATAAACTTTTTTAGGGTAAAACCATCAAATCATGGCCGCTTAATTTTAAACTGCTTCATGTTACCGCGAATCGCTTAGATTCTTAAAAATATTTCTAAACTCTTAAAAAACCTCTTGAGATACAATTTATGATAAGTTTGGAAGCTTTTGTTAATAAGTTTTAGCACAAATATTAGAAGGCGTGAAAAACATCAAATCATGGCCAGAGATCCAAAACATGGCCATTGCGAATTTATTCCTGGCCATTAAGTTTTACAAAGTAAAAATAGTGATAATACTTTTAAATTTAAATTAAAAACAAAAGAAATTAATTGTAAAGAGTTTCAAAAAAGAAGTTCTGCATAAATTTTTACTCATATAAATTTAGTTCTTTTTTTAACAGGTAAACAAACAATAGATTTTAAAGCGCTTCACAACATTTAATGTTTTCAAATTAGCAAATGTCTTCAAATAAATAAAAAACGGCTTCGAGCCGTTTAAGTGCCACGGCTGCTAAAATCTAATAATAATCATTTCATTTATATCGTATCTACACTCTAAACCCGAATGGTTCTTCAAAAAATCTTCAAGGGTTCTTCGTGTTGACGCTGGTGGAGAACTCGTAGAGGTTCTTCAAAGAACCCTTTACGAAGGTTCTTCGGAAGAACCTTAAAATAAGGTTCTTTAAAGAACCCGTTATAGTTTTTTAACGAACCGTTCAATATTTTTGCATTATTACTTCGTTGCACGGATACTTTTTTGACTTCTTGAACATTTTTTATTATCTGATATTTATATAATATATAACTATTTAATAGATTTTTAATATTTAATTATAATCATTTAAGATATTTAAGGTAGTTACTTAAGGCTAAAATAGAAATGCAAATTACGACTTTCCTAAGTATTTTACATATTTTTCAAAATATGGCAATAAAGAAAAAAAAACTTTTTTTAAACAATTGATATAAATATTTTTAAAAAATTAACAAAAATAAATTTTATTTTACAATCCAATATATCTATGTTTATAAAAATATATCATCAATTATAAAAAAGGTTTTCTAGTGTTAAATCCACTGTCCAATATATAAATGTTTTTGCTTGAAATTAGCTGTACGAATAAACGTGAGATTTCTGAAGTCGCATTCGTTTGAAGAATTATCTAAAATTCAATAATGGAATAAATATATATATATATATATATATATATATATATATATATATATATATATATATATATATATATATATATATATATATATATATATATATATATATATATATATATATATATATATATATATATATATATATATATATAGAGAGAGAGAGAGAGAGAGAGAGAGAGAGAGAGAGAAATAACAAAATAGATAATATTGTACAATTCATTATTTGTAATGCAAATCAATTTTGAATAAAGATTTATATATATATATATATATATATAAATATATATATATATATATATATATATAAATATATATATATATATATAAAATATATATATATATATATATATATATATATATATATATATATATATATATATATATATATATATATATATATATATATATATATATATATATATATGCTTGTAAGTCTTGTCCAAAAAAGGCTTGTTAAAGTGAAATTCGATCTCTTTTCGACCACGATGTTGAATGCACGATGGAGTGCAATTAGTAGATAAGATATCTATTGCAAAATGCTTAAATAATAACTTTTTCATCACCTGAAACTCAAATACAATTTATAAACACATTTCTTTTTTTCAAATTTCAAAGCATAAATATGAAGACAATCTTCAATGTAGGTATGAGAACTTATGATTGTGCTCTCATTAAGTTAGTAGATAGAAAGGAGCCTGTTCGTTTAAACATCTCATATTCCATTTTGAGTCAAATGACTTGCTGTCAGACAATCAATACAGTTTTCGATCCTCTCGCTCATCGATTTGCTATGTGGCTAACTACTGTGACTGAAAGATTGTGCATTAGATAAAGGCTGAGAGGCAAGGGCTATTGCTCTTGACATATCTAAGGTTTTCAAC